GTCTAAATTCAGGTTGTTGTTGTTGTTGTTATGTGCCATCGAGTCGCTTCCGACTCATAGCGACCCTGCACAGGGTTTCCAAGGCTGTTAATCTTTACGGGAGCAGAAAGCCTCATCTTTCTCCCGCGGAGCAGCCGGTAGTTTCGAACTGCTGACCTTGCGGTTCGCAGCCCGAATCGTAACCACTACGCTACCAAGAAATATATTGGTAGCAGTAGTATCAGTAAACACTGGTACAGAGTAGCGTTTGGTAGCAGTACATTTAAAATATAAGGAGCTCTGGCAGCGTAGTGGTTAGGAATCGGACTGCTGAAACTACCAGCTGGTCCATGGGAGAAAGATGAGGCTTTCTGCTCCCGTAAAGATTTACAGCCTCGGAAACCCCGTACAGGGTCGCTATGAGTCGGAACCGACTCCACAGCACACAACCACCACCACCACATTTAAAATATAAGGCAACTGCCTTAGAGTCTCCATTCACTTGATCTTGTGGCCCATACCTTGCCATTTTGAACAAATAAATTGTTGGTGGATGTGAATTGGTAATTCGCTTTGTTTAGTGTTTCCCTAATCTACCACTAGGGGGAGTGTCAGCTGTTACTCTACAGTGTCCCCACCCCCTTCCTTTGTTACATGAGCAATTTATGGATTGGGTACAGGATAATTTATGGATACATTTTTTAGGCTTAAGAAATATGCCAGCAGATATGTTATTCTATTAAAGCAGTCCCCTCCCCCCAAATATTTAATATTGACTCATCAGTGCTCCTAACCACTAATACTAATAGCAGGTATTCATGGCACACTGGCAGAACGCTGAACACTAATCCCAAACATTTAATCCTCAAATCAGCCCTTTGAGGTGATTTTTATTTTTATCTACCATTTCCTGAAGAGAAAACAAAGGTTCTGAGAGGTTGATTACCTTGTCCAGAGGTAGACAGCAAATGGTGGAGTCAGGAGTTGGCATCCAGTTTGTCTTTCAAAAGCCTACGGCCTTAGTTATTGTACCATCCTGCCTCTTGCATATATATACGTGTCCATTATTCCCATGGCTGAAGGACCAGCTGACGCTGGAGCAACACTTCTGCTGTTTTTCACACATTGTAGCTCTCTCTTTGCTGTTAAATGCCATTGAGTCTATTCTGACTCCTCCTGACAATAGGGTTTCCAAGGAGTGGCTGGTGGGTTTGAACTGCCACCCTTGTGATTAGCAGTTCATTGCTTATCCTACAGTGCCACACCAGGACTCCACTTCTTTAGAATACACTTGCGAGGAACTTACAGGCTTAACTTTTTTTAACTTACATGTTTCCTGTTGCAAGGAACTTACAGGCTTTAATTCTAAGTGCTCTTTAGTTTTAAGAGGACTGTTAGTACAAAACTTAGTATTGTTCTGAATGTCCATTACACCTTTTCAGAATGAGCTTCCTGAACCTGAACAAGACAACGGGGGCACCACAGAGTCTGTTAAAGAACAAGAAATGAAGTGGACGGACTTAGCCTTACAGTACCTCCATGAAAACGTTCCCCCCATCGGAAACTGACATCCAGCACCTTTCCAGTGGATTTGGTTCTCATACAAAAATAATTTTTTTAAGTTTTCTAATGCAAACCGTTTAGTGATAAATCAATACTCAAAAATGTGTACCTGCTTAATTTTGGGCAGTAACAAGTAAAATGTGAAAATATTCACCAGAGTGAGAAAATGATTGCGATTTCTTGAAGAATGTGGAGTATTGGGCTCTTTGAGGAGACAATTCCTTATTTGCCAGCATGTTTGAACATGATTGCTAAACATTTGTCTTTCACTCTAACTTGGTCTCCCTGCCAGAGTTTAACATTTCCTAATTGCTTATGTATATGCTATGATACAAGGTGATTGAAGATTAGAGCGAGAAAGGCAGACATGAAAATTATTAACTTCTCATGTACCCCCACTTTGAGAAGCATGCTGAGTGGATGGGGAGATGTGTACCCAGCCTATGGACTTAAGGATATATAGGTATCCCATTCACTTACTACTGTGATTCCTAAGATTCCCCATGTTCTTTCAAATTTATTGGTAAATTAATACTAATTAAAAACTTACCTGATGCTCTTTCTCTATACTTTTCTTTGTGCCACTGATAGGACTAGTTGGACCAGTAACAGCACTTTTAATTTTCTCAGTGCTCTTTCAAATACAACCCAAACACCATGGAATCAATAAGTTAGTTATACCTTTGTATATGAACTTGTACTTTGAAATGCAGTTTACAATACGGAGGAAGTTAGCCCAACATGACCAAGGTAAATGAAGACAAAGATCTGCAAAAATAAAACACAGTCATGTTAATAGATGTAACATACAATTCTATACCAACCAAAAGTGTGTGAGTGATTACATATATATGGTATACAGGTGTGGGAGGGCATATGGGAATACGTGTGTGCATGTATAAGTCTGTTGTTAGGTGCTGTTGAGTTGGTTCTGATTTATAGTGACCCTGTATAGGGTTTCTGAGGAGCAGCTGATGGAATAGCAATCCAGTGTTGATCCTACAGTGCCACACCAGAACTCCTATATATGTATAATTGTGGCATTTGTAGCTAAATATTTGCATGTGCTGCATATATTCTTGTTAGGCCATTGAATTAGTTCTGACTCACTGTGGCCCTGTGCACAAAAGAACAAAACACTGCCCAGTCCTGTGCCAGCCTCACAGTTATGTTTGACCCTACTGGTGCTGCCGCTGTGGCAGTCCATCTCGTTGGGGGCCTTTTTCTTTTCACCGACCCTTTACCAAGCATGATGTTCTCCAGGGATTGGTCTCCCCTAGTCACGTGTTGAAAGTATAAAGGAGGCAGTCTCATCATCCTCACTTCTAAAGAGCATTGTAGTTGAGCTTCTTCCAACACAAATTTGCTTGGTTTTCTTACAGGCCATGGTACTTCCAGTGTTCTTTGCCAATGCTGTAATTCAAATGCATTGATTCTTCAGTCTTCCTTATTCATTCTCCAACTTTCACATGCATATAAAGCAGTTGAAAATACCTTGGCCTGGGTCAGGCACACCTTAGTCTTCAGATGGATATTTTGCTCTTTAACACTTCAAAGATATATATTGGGGGGGGAGGAGGCAGCAGATTTGCCTAATGCAACAACTCCTTTGATTTCTTGACTGATACTTCCATAGGTACTGATTGTGGATCCAAGCAAAATGAAGTCTTTGCCAACTTCATTCTTTTCTCTATTTATTGTGATGTTATTACTGGGTCAGTTGTGAGGATTTTTCTTTCTTTACATTGAAGTGTAATTTACACTGAGACTGTAGTCTGATCTTCATCAATTAAAGTTTTCAAGTAATCTATGCTGCTTTGGAGCCCTGATGTGACTCTGGGCTAATGCGCTGGACTGCAAAGTCGGTTTGAACCACAAGGTCGGTGGTTCAAGCTCACCAGTTGCTCCTTGGAAACCCTATGCAGGGTCGCTATGGATCAGGACTGACTCGACGGTACTTAACAACAAAAACATGCTGCTTTAGGAGTTCTGGTGTGGCACTTTGAGTTAGTGCACTGGACTACAAAGTTGGTTTTGAACCGCAAGATTGGTGGTTCAAGCTTACCAGGTGCTCATCAGAAGTCCTATGCAGAGTCGCTAATGGCACTTAACAAGAACAACAATGCTTCTTTAAAGTGTTAAGAAGCAAAGATGTCAGTTTGAGTACTAAGGTGCACCCGACCCAAGCCATGGTATTTTCAGTAACCTCATATGAAAGAGTAAGTTGGACAGTGAATAAGGAAGACTACAGAAGATTTGATGCATTTAAGTTACAGTGTTGGAGGAGAATATTTAAAATAGCATGAACTGCCAAAAGAACAAACAAATCTTTGTTGGAAGAAATACAGCCCAAATGCTCCTTAGAAGCCAGGATGACCAGACTTTGTCTCATACTTAGGACATATTTATCAGGCAGGACCAGTCCCTGGAGAAGGCTATCATGCTTGGTAAAATGGAGAGTCAGCAAAAAATAGGAAGACTTCAACAAGACACCTTATTGTTTTGATTTACAACTGTCTCATTTATGATAAACACTGGACTGTAAACTACAAGGTCAGTGGTTCAAGCCCACAAGCCACTCCGAGGGAGACAGATGAGGTTTTCTGTTTCTGTTTCCTCAAAGATTTACAGCCTTGGAAACCGTACACTGGGTCACTATGAAACGACTCAGTGGCACTTAACAACAACAATGGCAAGTGATCATGAGCACTTCTTTCTTTGTTGGCCACCTGAATGTCATTTTTGGTGAAGTGTCCTCTGCCCATTTTTAATTGGATTTTTCATCTTATTGAAATGTTTTTAGTGTTCTATACTATTAGATAGTAGCCCCTTGTCTGATAATGTCATTGCCAAAAAATGTTTCCCGGTCTGTGGGTTCTCTTTTTACTTTTGGTGAAATCTTTTGATGGATCTAAGTGTTTAATTTTTAGGAGGTCCCAGTTATCTATCTTGTCTCTTGTTGTTTGTGTGTTTTCAGTTATGTTTGATTGTGTATTTATGCCATGTATCAGAGCCTCTACGTTTGTCCTTGTTTCTTCATTCATGATCTTTATAGTTTTAGGTTGTTCATTAGGTCTTTAATCCACGTTGAGTTCATTTTTGTATATGGTCTGAGATGTGGGTCTTGTTTCATTCTGCAAACCTGTTTCCAGTTTTGAAGAGATTATCACTTCCCCATTTAATGTGTTTTGGTCCTTTGTCAAGATCTACTGGGCATGTTGTTGTTAGCAACCCTTTATAGGGTTTCCAAGGAACAGCTGGTGAGCTTGAACTGCCAACCTTGCAGTTCTAACGGCTTTGCAGTCTGACACATTAACCCACAGCACCACACCAGGACTCCACTGAGCATGTAGGTGGATGGATTTACTTCCAGGTTCTCAATTCTGTTCCAGTGTCTTTGTTGTATCAGTACCCGGCTGTTTTGATTGCTCTGGGTGTGTAGTAGATACTGAGATTGGTAAGTGAGAGGCCTCCTATTTTGTTCTTTTTTTTATTAATGCTCTGCGTATCTGGGATCTCCTTTCCATATAAAGTTGATGTGAAAAGCTATTTTTGTTTTTTCTCTTGGAATAAAAATTTTTTTTCTAAACATCTTAGTTCTCCTTTCTGCTAAGTTGTCTTTCTTCAGTTATTAAAGGGAGTAGTGCCTTCGGGGTTTTTGTTCTGAGGATGAGTGATTTCTGGGCAGGATCAGTGCTGTGCAGCCAGCCAACAAGCCTGGATGTGTCTGTGGTACCGGACAGCTGCTACAGCCATGTTTCCTCTCAGAACCCTATAGTCAGCTCATTTGTTTTGTGCTGTAGCTCTTCCTCCTAAAAGCTAGGTAAACAACAGGGCTAGTAGAAAAAGAAAAAAAAAGTGATGAGAGAAAGAGATTTTAATTCAGTGTTTTTCAGTGAGGGATACCTGGGGCCTACCCAAAGAGTTTACAGTCTGGGTAGGGAACAAGAAAACACCATTTAACAAAGATAAATGATTCCAGAAGAGACTGTACATGAATCTGATTTTCAGAGTCCAGTTTTCTTAATATTATAGTTCACCAACATTTAAAAATATTTTATTGCCTTTTTGGTGAAAATATACACAGTAAAGCCTCCCATTCACCAATTTCTACACATAACGTTCAGTGCCATTGGCTACTTTCTTCACATTGTGTGGCCATTCTCATCAATGCATCCTAATGTGTCACTCCCAGTTAGTGTCCCTGCCCGCAAACTCCTGGAGTCTGTAGAGTAACTATTATCCATGTGGTCTCTTTAATGAAAGAGTGCAGTACTCAAGGGCGACATTTACTTTTTGAGTGACTTCAGGAGATAGTCTTATTTCAGTGTTTAAGGAGTAACTCAGAGTAATAATCTTGGAGATCCTCCAAGTCTCAGTGGTCTAGTAAATCTGGATTCTTTAACTATTTGAAGTAGTGTTCCACATTTTTCTCCCTTTCCATCAGGATCCACTTATTGAGTCCCTGACCAGAATGTGTGCTAGTGTTAGCTAGACTCAACCTAGTCATTCTGGTCTCAAAGTAGAGAAGGTCTCAAAAGCTCATGGAGACCACTAGTACTATAGTCTGGGTCCTTCTGTTTCTTGGATTTCCCTCTTGCTCTTTTGTTCCAGATGAATAGAGGCCAATATTAGGTGGCCACTTGCAGGTTTTTAAGATCCCAGATGCTACTCACCAAACTAAGAGATAAAACATATACCTTAAGAACTATATTATGCCAATTGATTGAATTATTCCATGAGATCAAGAGTCTAAAACGTCAAACGAAAACCACTCCTGTGAGGGATTTGTGTCTAAGTAGTATCAGTATTTGTTGTTGTTGTTGTAGTTGTCGTGTGCTGTTGAGTTGGTTCCGACTCAGCAACCCTGTGTAGGGCTTTTTTTTTTTTTTTTCCTGCATAGGGTTTTTGAGAGCAGCTGGTGTGTTTGAACTGCTGAACTTGCAGTAGCAGTCCAGTGTTTATCTGAAAGTGCCACATTAGCACTCTGTGCTTCTGCTGCTTC